CTCCTCCCCAGCTCTCCGGTGCAAATAGGACACTCATAAAGGTTGTGGGCAATATCCTCGTGAATGCGAGTGGCGATGTCGGCCGCAACTGATTTTGTCGTGACTTTGGGCGGCGGAGGCGGGGTATTCTTAGCTTTAGGCTTCTTCTTTGTGGGCGCAGAAGTAGTCGAGGGAGTGGGCTCGTTGGGGGCATGTTCTGGCTGTGTTCCTGGCACAAATGCAGGCGCATCGGCCCTCAATCCTGGATCATTCGTATCCACTGCTGTATCAGCCTGTTCTTCCTCCGGCGCCTGTTCTGATTTCGTTAAACGTCCTTCGAACCGTCTGCCCGTACTGGTTGTCCCTCGGTCTCCGCCTCGTTGTCTCTGTCGACGACTAGTGCCCTCCGAGGGTGCGCCGCCACCCCGACCTCCCCCTCTTCCCCTCCGTGGCCCTCTGCGAGAGCGTGGTGCATCGGCGGGAGGATCTAACGGTGAATTCTGGGTAGATTGAGCTTGTGATGGCTGCTGAGTAGACGGTTGTGCATCCTGAGATCGTTCTGTGGTTTGGGTCTGAGGGCGTCGGTGATTGCGATTGCCACGGCCTCGGCCTCCTCCACGTCTCGATGGCCTCGGTCGAGATGCGCTTCCTTCTGCAACGGGTGCAGGCACGTCGGACATAGTCTCGGTGATCGATAGCCGGTTACAAACTTCGACCCGCCCGCTCATGCACTGCGATAAAGAACTATTTGAAGCGGGTAAACGTGATATGACAGATGGTCGAGGACGCTCCCTTTAATATGAGTGAGGGTGTGCCTGAAGATAACGAAGGAATAAAATAGGGCCTGTTCCCCCGGAGGCGACGAGGATTAAATCAAAAAGAAGGCGATCGAAAGATCGACGGGGCAATTGTTCCTTAGAATTTCAGATTTGAGTGGCGGAAGCTCTGTTGCGGCTCTAGCCGTTGGTTGGCTTCAAGCCTCCAATCATATGCAGTAGAAAATGTACAGTCTTCATGAGTCATGTGGCTAGGCCGCCATTCGGATTAGTAGCGGTTCCTGCCAAGCGCACGGTTGTCGATTGTGAGTAATCGTGACTCAGTCTGACCGCTCTCTTTCGGAAGTCCCTATGAGTGATCATCTCCATGCTGAAATCCATTAACGTGATAAAGACCGGTCAGAAACGTAAGCAATTCTTAGAGTAAGTCCGTTGCAGACCCTAAAATCATTAAATTATTCTTCGTCTTGACCAGAATTCGTGTAGCACCTCCAGATGAGATACAAAATTCAAGTACGGAGTACAATGTTTATATATATATATATATATTTTTAAATGAGACAAAAAGGTGTTTAGAGCCAAACATCATCACACTCCCATGACTAAGTACATAGATAGAGACAGGAAGTGCTTTGGCTGCTAGAGGACGGAGCCAAAACCTATTAAAGTGACATCGCTATGCAAATGAAAACAAAACACGAACAATCTTATCAGCCGTCAAACCTAGCCTTCCTCATGATTACATAAAAAGGACAATCTCTCCCCGGTCATTTCTCTTGATGCGCAATGTGCGCCAAAGATCTTTCTCGTCTTCACCTCTTTGCTCATGGTCTGCACGGCTGCGCCCTTGCTCACGACCCCGTTCATCATCAAATTCGTCGGTGAAGTCACGATGGAAGCGCTTCAAGACCTTGTTCACAGAGAATCCTCGCTGGCTTTCGGGACCCTTGGTTACCAATGACAAGAAGTGAGCAGCCATCTGTCGCTGTAGGTCACTAGGAATGTTCGGCTGCCCATAGACCACGACCTGGCGGCCGTCATCCCCGCGAGGGGACTCGGTGCGGGAACCGTTAGCGTATTCGATTTGTTTGAGACGCTGAGATGGCCGACCATCCATCTGAGCGCTACTCTTGCGCTTAGACTTGTGCGAATCAGGTGCCACACGGTTAGACTTTTTAGGTCGTGCGTCACCATCATCTGATGAACCACGCTTGCTTTCCGCAGGGCCTCCAAACATGGAAGAGACAAGGCGTTCGGCACGGTTCTTCATCGAGATGCCCAAGCCGGCATCAGAGCCATCCTTGTCGTCACGGCGAGTACGCTTAATGGGAGATGAAGGGTCCTGATAACGCCGGCGAGGATGATCGGCGTGGTCATTCTCATCTTCTAGGGAGGGGGACCGAAGCATCCGGCTCAAACCACCTGTTAGCCCCGAATGATTCAGCATGGGCGTGCCTGGGTGGTTCACGACGCTAGATGGTGCTTCCATCATAGGAGTATCGACGTCTTCAATTTCCTGGTCTTCATTGTGGCGCTTCCGCTTCTTCTCACTGGTAACGGCGCCCGCCTCAGTCTTGCGCGAACGGTCCTTCTTCTTCTTCGGGGCCGGGGTCATGAACTCCATGGAAGCGTTCGCGGCTGTACTTGGGTACACCGATGGCGGGATAGGACCAGAGCCGTAAGAATAGCCATTTTCCTCGTATGGCAGATCATACCGCTTATCCTCATCCTCGCCGCCGGTTTCGTAGTTGGTTAACGCCTTGCTGGCTTCAAAGACAGAAGGAGCGTGATCAACCATTTGCATCTGCTCTCTGGGCTGATTGAGGGAGACTTTAGATGCGTTCGGCGTCTTCTCAGCAACTAGGAAGTCGAATACATTGACCTGTTTAGAATCATCTCTCTGAGGAGTCCCCGAAGTAATTGGAGGAGTAGGGGCAGTGGGTAGCGTGGATATGTTCTCCTTGGACTTGTCGGATTCAGGAGCGTCCTCGACGTAGGGTGCTCGGTGACCATTGGTAGTAGGCTTGGAGTTCTGCTTAGGATCGTTCTTGCCTTTTTGATTCCGTTGATTCTTCGTCTGTTTCGGCTTATATAGAGCGCCCTCGTACTTCTGAGCCTCGGTCATGCATGACTTAAGACAAATTAGCATCCACTAATCAATGATAGTAGGCCTTTGAATAGGTAATATTTATCAAGAAGTCCTTCGCTCTTGACGTCTACCCAATACCACTGAGACAAGCTGTAAAGCAAAGCCGCTAAGTGATCGCACTGCGAACCAATACTGCGCCCAAGCCCGCGAGGCCGATCGCGTAGCCTCGGACTAATAGGTAGGGCACGTAGGAAAAGAAAAACATATCCATACCGTATGTGATCTATAACTAGTTCCCTGGAAATGGACCATGCAATCAATGCAGGTAAAGGTTGCGCCGCGACATTGGTTGCGATGAGGATCGAGCTTCTTCTTGGTGAGAATATCACCGCAAGCCTAAATTTCCGAGGCAAAGGTCAGCCATCACCATACATTTAAGGTTCACTCATAGCATTTAGACGTCAGAGAACGAATAAGAGTTTCGTCCAACTCACCTCGCATGAGAACGACACCATTTTGAGCCCCGCTATACAACCCACTTATGAGATGACAGCACAGTTACTGGTGGGTACTATAACCCAAGCAACAAAGTGAAAGTGTATAAAAAAAGGACTTGGCAAGCACACTGTCTAGCGCTGTGAGGTCAGGCACAAGAATCAGTTACGCGATCAGCTATTTGCGACTGATAAAGAGATTGTCGCGCGGAATCGCAAGATGAGCCTAAAGCAAAATGACCGGGTACCCCTTCGTTGTCAAGATAACAACACGAAGAATGCAAACTATTTCCAATAGGAACAGACACAATAGAGAGGAATAGAGATCGCACAGCGCTATGATCAAAGAAACAACGCCTGAAAAGTTGGACACTCTGCTGCCTTTCCTTCTGTTGATCTTTGTCTGTGTTTCTCTTTATCTTTTTTGGCGCGCTCATTTAAAAAAAAAAAAAAAAAAAAAAAAAAAAGGAAAGCTTCCAAACACTGAGTGGCGCTAATCCTAGTTTAGTAATGTAAATGGGTCAATCCGTGGTGCCTCGGAAACCAGGCATATACATCTCCACGATAGGACAACAACGATATCAATACCGAGTGGTGATAGAGAGGAACAATAAAGAAGATGAAAGCTTAAGAAGATTTCAAAATTCAGCGGTGTATATACACCACACCAGTTCTAGGGGGCTATTTGTACTTTTGCTTATGCACAGTGCTTCGGATTGGCCTGAATACGATCCTACGATTAGACATATATTGCGGTCAGGGAGAGCCAGGATTCCCACGCACCATAATACGATGATCTGTTGATCGCGGCTTCAAAAAAGGGTGTGTGGCGCCTGTACATCTAGCAATCAGCGTGGACTTGTCAGGAGACTCGCTCTGATTCCAATATGGAGGCTGACGAGCCATTCAGCGCCCAGTATTGCCTTTCAGCTTGCCAGTTAGCGTAGCGCTTCTGGAGGGGCTATGCAGTTCGACAGAGAATAAGGCCTTGGGCACGGCTCCTGAAGGCCATGTCGATAATAAAAATAACAAGAACAATACTATTTCTTCTGGTCGGGGTCCACCCATCCTGATTAAAGGATGGCTGCCCTAGTCGAATTAGCTTTATCTACTGCCTCTAGGTTCCGCGCCTTGTATCCCATAAGATCAAGAATACAGACTATGTCTTTAATTTCTACGGGAGGTTAATGTTTCGCTTTTCCTGGGGATAGTTTCATGATCTCGTATTCGGCAAGACCCCGCACTTTGACCATTCCAGGTGCTGAAATGTGCTTGTGCTGTAATATGGTCGAGGTTACTGAGAAGACTGTTCCATGTCCTCAGAGATGGAAAATCGTGTGGTAACATGGACGAAAAAGAAGCTTTCGGCAGAATAGTGGCTCATCCGGTTGAAGGCTACACTAGAGCTGCACTTGCGCGCATGACTGCATCGGAGTCCTACCTGTGACTGGCGCGGCTGACCAACAATTGGAGGGTGTGTCTGATCGCTGGGTGTTACGCAGCGAATGTAGAAGGTTCTTCTACAATCAAGCATCCTCTGTGTCGATAGCCACCACCTGAGCCATCCTCAACAGGGAGCTCGAGTGCATCCTTGAAATTCAGTCCGCTACCCAGACGGTATATACATACTGTGCATTATCTGACTCACTATACTCCCAACGAACCCGCGTGGGCAAGACATTATCCAAGTCAATTACAACAGAGTGTCTGCGAAATAATTTCGAGACCAAAAGCTGAACAGATATGCGATAGAATTCAACCCCGCGTAGTTCTGAATATGTTGTGAGTCTCTAACTTAGTAGCGAGATGTGGGGCGAAGCAAGGGGGGGGGAAACCCACGGTTCCTTGGATATCTCAAAGCGCTGACTAGTAGCAATGTCATCACTTTCTTTGGAGTCAACTTGATCTCTACTCTTGAGCTCATCGTTCTCGTCTTCGACTTCTTCGTCCTTGGCGCAGCCGCAGTCGTAAAAGTCGCCGATCTTATTGCAGTCAAAAATAGGCTTTTTGAGCATAGTATTGACCTCATTGTGAATAAAGCAGCCCCATCCTGAAGCAGCGTTGCGTGAGGATACTTGTGGAGGATACTTCTTCAAGTGACCTTGGAAATGTGAGGCGCATTCGCCACTGATTTACGGTCAGTGTCATCCGGTATGCACTCTCACGCGGAAGGTATATACCAAGGATATAATCGTGCAAATAAATAAATGAAGGAGCGCAAAGTTTCTTGTTGCTCCTCTGTCGGATCTTCTGGATACCGTGCCAGCATGGTATGGAAATACTTCCACGTAGCGCGCCCTAATTCCGCCCTAGTACTCCCCATACAATCAGTATAGATTCAGAACCTCTCGGACCAATGTGTGTGTGACGTACTTAGCCGTCTCATTGCCCAGCTTCGGCATCACCACCTCGCCTTTGACCATATCATCCTTTGTCAATGTTGAATGAGACGCTTTCTCTAGGTGACCGGGGGCTCGGATCGCGGGGCTTGGTGGGCCTTGAGGTCGGATGAAGAACACAAAGAGGAGGAAGATCGAGACTGCGGCGCCAAGCAGTATTCGCCTAGTAATATGGCGGTTCGCCATGTTCGAGACGAGGGGCTTGACGTGAGGTAGCAACCGTCAATCGGGGGATACGTCAATGGATTGGAAATTCAACAACGGTTGAGATAAGATTTCTCGACTCAGTACTGGTCTTGGTTTAATTCACCGGAGCTAAATTAGCATAATTGAAAGTAAGATGAAAGGAGCGACTGTGACAAAAAAAAAGTCAGCAAGAGAATTGTGGTTTTTAGTACTCCGATGTCCCTGCATGAGGTTATCCTTGGTTCCGAAGATCAGTCCACGTGTAGATAACAACACAACGTTTCACTTGTGCTGCTTAGTCATGGAAGCACTCAATGCAGAAATTAATATCTATTCCAGTTATTATACAAGGTGTATTCCCAGTTACTAGTAAGGCTGTACCATCATGTGGATATCAAGAACCATGCCGATAGAGGTTGCATTGAGCACATGGATAATGTATGCCAAGCAACCAGTAGGAATGTGGAGATCTACTTGATGGCGTATTTCTCTTTAACACCACACTAATACCGATAAACAGCCATTTTTATCATAGACTGCAATTTCCACTGGTGACAACGGCTGGTATATGATCTGAAAAACAATAAAACCATGTATCGAAGAAGGAACTAGGAAAACATTCAAGGGCCCTTCTTAGTTGAAAACAGGCCTGACTAACATGAAAGGCACATGAAGCCCACGAACTAAACATGATATGGCAGAATGAAGACCACTTTCCCTCCGCATTAATCCCATTCATCACACTTTAGGGCTTAAAAGTGCTTGTATTATCGTAAACAGGCGCTTAAAACTTTTGCTGAGGTGGCCGCCTGAACGTGGATTAGTACATTGTAATATCCTTATATTCATGCTATAACTATATTATAACTTACTCATTTGATTATAATATACTTTAATGAATTCCTTTAATAGTCAACCCGTACGGACTGTATTCTTGAAAATATTAAGGCCATATACGGAGTAGTGTCTGCTGTAAAAGCCAAATCTCGATCCCTGTTGGGCCAGTATACAGTTAAGGAGAAAAATGCAATAACAGATCACGCCTTGGTGGCAACAATGATGCCCTCCCCATTGCCCGGTGGTTGGTAGAAGGAGACATCCTTCAAGCCAACGGACGTAAGAAGAGCACGCCACTGCTTCTCGGTGCGTTCGAAAGCACCTACCTGGAGCATCATCATGATGCTGATACAAGCGGTGGCGAAGTCGCAATCCCGATCAGGGATGATCTGGTCATTGATGATTAATTTAGAATAACCTGGCTCCATGGCATCAACGATATGGCTGAGGATATTTTGAGCTTGCTCGTCTTGCCAGTCATGCAGGATCCAATGCATATAGTATGCTCGCGCGCCTGATGGATTGGTTAGAACATATAGAGCCACAGCAGATGAGATAATGGAAGAGAAAAACAAATTCTCCTGCGAAGCCAACAAGGGAAAAATCTATTTTCGTACCTTTCACTGGTTGAGCGGTAAAGAAATCATGCGCCATCAACTCAGTACCTTTTGGGGTGTTGTTAATGGTAGAAATTACTTGCGGTAAGTCTTGCAAAATACGACGGCCCAGGGCATCAGGAAATTTGTCATTGAATGCGCGGAGATAGTTTCCTTCACCGCCACCCACATCCACAAGCAAGACATCATCTGGCTGGTTGCGAAAGCCATCGAGGAGGTTTCCTTGAATATCAAACCAGTCCACCCAGTTTGGGGCTGCTTGCTGCTTGAGTGCCATCCATTGCTGGAAGTCCTTAGCTAGGGATGGGTTCTCTCCCAACCACGCGAAGTAACTGAGGGGAGTGTTCTTTGCTAGCTGGAAGGGAGTATCTTCTGCTGATGTTGGGAACTGATTGTTGTTCCGGCGGAAGTACTCTGGGGCATAGGTAGTGCAATAGTTTCCAATATCGAAACTAAATTCGTCAGAATGGGTGACCTCTGCTTTGACGCACTCGGTGTGCCGGGGAGAACGTTGCATACCATGCTCTAGTTGTCGCTTCAAGAGTCCCATCCGACATCACCATGGTGAGAGGGGAGGGCTTGTAGGCTTGGACCCCTACCTCTGACACATATCCCGCGGCGGCCAGCAACTTTAGGATTTGATCTGTGTACACATATGTCATCAGTAATGTAAGTCCCCTGCAAAAATAGTGGACCGAGTTGTATCCGAAGTCCCTAATCAAACACGGGGCAAATTGAGTATTGGCATCGGGAGAGTAAGACCCGTCAAGCCTTAAGACTGTACAACTGCAACTGCATATTGCAGTAGGCATGTTGGGATGAAAAATTGACAAACCTACCGACAACGATAATACTTGCACCTGACTGGTCCGCGATTTGCTCAGTAGTTGCCCCCTCCCCTTGATGGTCGCGGATGATCTGGAATACACCAAGCTGCACACCCATGCGAAGGGCCATAAGCAAAACGGGGTTCTATCATACGCCATGGGCGGGTTAGCGGGTTGACTATTAGGGCAGACATGATGCTGGTTCGGCAAGGTGCTTCTCTATGGATGTTTTCGCCACATACTAGGACCACATCTTGCATCACAGTCTCTGGTGGAGAGCCGAGAGCGTCCAGGAGGCCTCGTGCTGCTTTGAGAGTCCTAAATCGGGTAGCATCATCAAGGAATTCTCTATTCGATTGCACCGCCTGTGTGAGAGAGACAATCTGTTCTTCGAGAGAAAGACTATTTGACTTGTTCTGGTCTGAAACCATCATGAGATATCAACTTCCCGCGAAGAATTTAGGATATTCGAGCGGGCAGGAGGGGAGCGAAGACTTTAAAATTCCACGACCAACTACGATGGTTTGGAACATTAAAGATATTTGACATGGCTGAGGGAGACATTGACTTTCAAGACTTAAAAGCCCGGATGCCACGGTGACCCACCGACAAGAAAACAGTGGAGATACGGAGTATGTACGCGGAGGACATACGTTTCTAGGCAAGAGCCATTTTATTTCTTTGCTGGGAACAATATTAATCGGGCCGCTGTCTCGCATGACGCCGACCAAGACCCAGATAAGCGAGTACGTATCCAACCGTGGCGGAAAATCCCCCGGGCTGAAAATGTTTCAGCCCGACTCAGTCGGAAGCTGGGTCTTTTAAGGAAGGATGCACGTTGATTGCTGTTCCAATCTCCCACGCGACGACCATGTGGAGCTCCGGAGTCCATTAGATTAAACGTGCGATGCCAAACTTGAGATCGCGGGCTCCACTTCTGCGCCATCGCGATCCATGGCCAGAGCGCCAGTTCAATTCTTAGCCCCGAACAATTTATGCAGTGAAATTGCAGATTAGGTAACCTGGTGAGCTCCTGCTTTAAAAATTATGAGAATCCCGCCATGAGCAGGGCCCAATTGCCTGCGTTGCTGAACACCCGGGCCATGCTCCATTGTCGGAACAGGGCTAGGGATACCGATTGGTCTTTACGGTAACAATGAGCGAGTCTCCGGGCAATGCAGACGTCGCCTACCGTGGTGACTCGCTGATGGGTGTATCCATTGCCATCGCGGTCGTCCAAATTATGGTGGTCATTGCTCGGTTCTATGCCCGCTATTTACAGAGAGTCGCCTACGCCGTCGATGACTACCTAATTATACTCTCTTTGGTCTTTCTCCCTATCTATACGGTATCCCGTCTACGTCACTAACCAGACTTCCTTCGTATAGATTGCCAGCCTAGGACAGTCAGCGTTATACATAGTCTGTACGTGCTGGTATCTTCATTCCGAATCTTATGAACCCGCTCTGACTTGTGAGAAGTGCTAAAGATTGGTGGGCTGGGCTATCATCTCGAATACGCTATGCAGACTCCCGAGAAACTCGTTAATCTTCAAAAGGTGGCATTATCTGAGAGCGCTAGTCAATACGACCGTTAACCCGATTCCAGGGACTCGTTGCAAACCAAATTCTCGATTTCCCTTTTACCGTGACCCCCGCGAAGATTTCGATCCTTCTCTTTTACATTCGCATCTTCAGCACGCCGAAGTTCCGCATGATAGCCTATACGGTTGGTTTTATTGTCCTAGGCCACGGGATCGGGGTCTTTTTCGCGGCGATATTCCAATGTTCCCCTGTGCAGTATGCATGGGATAAGACCCTTGAGGGTGGATCGTGCTTTGACCAACAGGCGTTCTATCGCTATGTCTCGCCTCCGAATATCCTGACAGATGTCTTGATCTTGGTCATGCCCATGCCATTTGTTTGGAAACTTCATACACGAATGACACAGAAACTCGCACTGACGGGTGTCTTCCTACTTGGAGGATTGTAAGTAATTGTTGGGTATCTATGCCACCGCCGCCCTCGACTCACAAACTTTCTTCTAGGGGGACTGTCGCAAGCATTTTGCGCATGACTATCTTCTTCCAGGAGAATGCTCTTACTGACCCAACCTGTATGTCTTTAAAATGTGCCCTCAGTTGCCATGGGTTGGTCGTCACTAATATTATTGGACAGGGGCATCGGTTAACCTAGGTATCTGGACCGTACTGGAAGCAGGCATCATTATCATTTCGGCTTGTCTCCCTTCTATCTGGCCGTTAATCGTTCGGATTCTACCACGCAGATTGGTGAGCAAACACTCCTCCAAGGCCCGAGGTCACCGGTACACCGCTAGCAATGTCAAGGCGAATGTAGGTGATGGCTTCTCCCGGCTTGGGGAGAACGCCACTGGGGAGACGGACAAGTGGCCCCTCGACGCGAATCCCCTGCACGAGAGCCAACCTGCATCTATACACGGTCAAGGACTAGTGAAGGGTGACAGCATATCACTACGGAGTCTGAATGAGACCCGACAGGAGCCGCGATATTCATGAGTAATGATTCCACCTAGAGAATATAATACAAATTATATTTCTATCAAAAGTCACTATCTATTGCTGTCCCACCCCTCTATATGACTTCATGCCCATATTTAGTTTCGTTGTTCTTCCCTAACTCTTGGTGGATTGAAACTCTCGAGCAAGAAAATATTGTAAACAATGATGAGAAAACCAGGGAGCTAACGGAGTAGTCGGCGTTTAATTTAATTAAGTGCAACTAATTCTACGTAACAGCAAACAAATCCCTGTCCTCATTGAATAACTCTGTAATGTTATAATATATGTGAAAAAGTTAAATCAGCTTATTCATTTAACCAATTTTAAATATATTAGATACATTATGATTTATCCTCCAATACATTTATAGGCAAGTGACCGATAGGATGTTCAGAAATTCTAGCTCTTCTTGGCAACCCACAAACCAGCGATAGAAAAGCTACGTACTCCGGTGGGTTGGGCAAGACATGACAATTTCCAAGGCTCTAAAGACCCGCTCTGGGCCAGGGAATTAGGACCGTACGATCGTTAGTGGAGTATGTACGGAGTACATTCATAAGCGAGCATGAACCTCGGCAGCTAACCGTCCGATTGAGTTCGATTTCTGGATTTTCCAGCCCAGAACTCTTCTCCCCGGCCGTCCGTTGAATTCCGGCTCATGGAAGGTTAAGGTCTTGAATTGGCCTGTGCATATAGGTTTAATGTACTCTGTATATCATGATATTGAGCAGGAGTAGTAGTTCGAGAGAATCTATGTGCCGGCGAAGTGCCTGGACAGAACGGACTTTTTTGAACAATACTCAGATATACTGTAACTTCTACTGCGTAGGTTTAGTGTACTCTCATACGCCTCCGGGGTATGCACGGGACTCTACCCTCCCGAATAAAGTGTTCCCATCATGGTATTAATGCTGTGGAGAATAGCCTTGTGGTATTCAGTGTAGAGGCTATATTATGGTTCTGGGAATACCATGCTTGGTAGGTGTGACTTGGATCCAAGGCGCAATCTGTTGGAGAGGGGCTTATGATAGTAATTGCACGTACGGAGTATGTACATTGCAATCTATAGAGGTGTGCACCAAAAATGTCGTCGCGCCGGTGAGTCGACTTTTATACATTTGATAGTGCTCGGTTTTACAATTTCAACTAAGACTTTTAAAATAACCAAGAAATGGTTAAGTTATAAGCATTTAGAAACTGGCCAATTTTGACGTATAGCGTGCGAAAGTTAAACAAAAATGCCAAGAATTGAAGATTTATACTTTTGCGTACTCCCCGTACGCTAAATCCGTTATTGTTGTTCCGCAACTTTTCCATTCTCCGTTCGCGGATCGCAAAGCTTACTTCCAAACTAGAAAATGGCATTTCTGAGGCCTGCTACTTTTCAATCCTTGATCCGTAATACTAGGGCACCTTTCCTGCGGGTCCAACAGAGACGATGGGCGCAGGTGCACGATGTCCGCTTCCTCGCCACGCATCATGATCCAAAGCTGGTGTTGGAGAGATACCGGAACAAGCTAGATGAGAAAGCTCAACAGTCAGTATTCCACAGGATAACTCAATTCTAACGACAATCTGCTTTTTGCTTTCTGTGTCTAACATGCTGTAATAGAGAAGGACACGGCTCCGTCGACTCACTGAAGGACGCATACAAAGAGAAGATCGATGACTTCCGTCGCAAAGCGTCCACCATTGTCACCCCGGAACCCTCGAAACCTACCCCCTCTCCATCAACATCCGCAGCTCATCATCCTCCCGCGCCACCTTCTCCCCAAGCCAACGCCGCATCTGAAGCCTCCGGCAAATCCTCGACGGGCATCAAGCCTCTCAGCTCCTTCATCGACGTCGAGAAAGTCCTCGACCTCCCACCAAAGGAGATCGAAGCTATCTGGCGTCTCCGCCATGCCAGCAACCCCCACTCCGTCTGTGCCGTCATCCCGGTAGAAACATACCAGCGCATTGCCTCGGCCGCTCGCCAAAACCCCCAATTCGTCCTCCCCCTGCCCCGCACGCAAGCCGAGACCGAGCAATCCGAGCAACAGGGAGATGATGCCGCCAACGCCGGCGCAGAAATCCACTTCCTTCAGTGGGCATTTCATCCGGCCGCTCCAACAGTCACTTCCGGACCTTTGGCTAGCTCTCACACGTCCACCGTCATCTTCACCCAACTCGCCGCGTACCAGTTGCATGGCTCCTACGCCCAGCCCCATACGACTATTACACACCACCTCGACCTAGCTGATGAGAAGGGTCTGGTCCTCATGCATGGCCAGATCATGCCAGACTCTGGTATTTCCTCCACTGACGCGACGTGGTTGGTTAGCTGTGTTCAGCGCTTCTACGATTTCGGTGGCCAGGCCAGTGGACGCAAGGGCGAGCTGCTGCGCTCGTTCACCAAGGGAGATACCAACGTCTTCAAGATAGAGGCGTTGCTGGAGGAGGCGGAGAAGTTGTAGATTATGTTACTCTTTTGATTCTAGCGTTGTATTACTTTTAACCTTTTCAAAATTGGTTCTGTTTTTCGGATAGACCTAGAATACAGCAATACTATGTACGATAGATGGCACCGCGCATGATACTCCTTATAGTCATCCCCACATTGTGAGCCTTTGGCCAAGGGGTGTGGCTTCCTCTGGTTATTGGTCTTTTAATCTTGCAAAACGTGCCGGGCACATGATTTAGCAATAGGGGCTCTATACTGGAGTGAACTGTGCCGTACCGGTTGCTTGACTATCTAGAGTAACAGGGTCTAGAAACAATGTATATCGAAAAAAAGTAGCAAGCTGGGAGTTCTTGAAACCATTAACGGGGCCTTATGGCTGTGAGATAGGAAGTCAACCTTGCAACTTAACCGCCCTATAAAATCAAAACTGATAGGATATAACGCCCGTATAGAATCCAGTGACAAAAAAACATCGTAAGCGCATAATTTCGCCGAACATAACCTGTATGAATACACCACGTCAATGCCTAGGGCATCACGTACCAAACCACGAATAGAAGTAGAGCTGAAATATGAACAAAGCCTGGCATAGGCGAGCCAGGAAAGAGTTTGGTGGAATAAGAATTAATCGTTAATCTATCGCGGCAACAAGGGCAGCACTGACTGCAGTCACCTTTGAATCGTTGAAAAGACCCCAGGGCTCTTCTTTTGTAATAGGCTCAAGAAGTATTAGGAGATGGTAAATGGGGAAATGTGATTGTGTTGAGTAGAAGAGGCCAACAGCAAAAGCCTGCATACTGAAGCCAGCCTAAGGCGGTAGGTCATTCATGCAAGAGGCGAGCATCTATCAGTCATGATCGATGACTTCTTCCTTAATAAAGGAATGAATATGCTCGAAGTAGCCTGGTTCAGCAACGCTGTCATTGTGGGCACCGTTTGGCAGAGTACGCCATAATTTGCGTTCTGATTGGCAAACAGCAAAGAGCTGAGTCATATTTGACGGACTATACACGGTCTTGTGTCAGTTCTGTTTCCTGCAGGCCGTACCATGAGGAAGCTTACGGGACAATTTCGTCCTTCAATCCGCTAAGGAAGAGGATGGGGACTTTGGTGATTTTAGGCAGAATCTCTTCACTAGTCCAATACTGGTGACAAAAGCGAGCAAGGTATCGGGCGGGAGGGAAAACCCTACATGCACGTTAGCACAGGGTGAGTGAGGTGATGTAGATGGTAGCGAGCATACGTCGGAATCAGCTTGCGAATACTCAGAAAAGTATTTTCAAGAATCAGGCCTCCAATATCACCCTTCTCTTGGTTCTCAGCCACAAGATTGATCGCGACCGCTCCTCCTAGACTCTGCCCATAAACTACAACCTTGTTGTTGCTAGTCTCCGCTCGTTGTCGGATATAGTCGAGTCCAGTTTGCGCATCAATTTTTAGACCTGCTTCGTCCGGGACGCCGGTCGAAAGCCCGTAGCCGCGATACTCCAGCATAAGCACATTGCAACCTAGTATATCGAGTAGGACCCTCGCAATCGGGATCCGGTGACCAATATTTCCGGCATTTCCATGGAACATCAAGACAGTAAGATCACCGGCAAGACCTTTCCTAGATGGACGAAGGAAGAGCGCATGTAATGACTCTCCATCCGGCGTAGGAATCTGGAGCTCTTCGTAATTGTTGACCCCAAACTGTCGGGGCTTCGGTACGTTGGTGCGCGCATCGGTAGGGACATTGCGAGGATAGATCAACTCACTGCACACGTGGTTAACTTCTAACTCATACACCTTATGGATACACTATACTACCAAAGGAGCACACGAAATTGGACAGCACTAACTTTTGTTTAAAATACAAAAGACCGCTGGCAACAACTGCCAAGCCAGATGATGCCAAAACAGGCAGCCTTAGGTACTGAGCGGCACTGTTGGCCATGCTGGTGATACTCCAAGACGGTGGGGGCGGCGGAGACTCGGACATTATAGTGGACAGGTTAGTACGGGTAGCTGTGGACGTGCAGACTTGAGTATTTGATAGAACTGAGACACGAGGTAGTTCGAAAGTCTAAAAGAGGTAAGGAGATAGCAAGGAAAATGACGCGGGGCCCAAGCTTTCAGGGAGGAGCTTTGAAAACGGGGTTCAATAGCTCAAGTGCCGGTAAATGATGGCGTTTCTTCGAACCGGATCCCATGGCTGGGGGAAGTTGTTCAGGAGGCTTGCGGGGAGAGTGTGTCTGACCAATGGGATTGTTGCTCCTACTCACCGCCCGGCGGAACCAGCTTCAGCTGCCAACGTAACGCGTTCGCCTGCCTTGAGCTCCGTCAGAGCTCTTCGGAATATTCATTCTATTAACACCTCATCCCTCCTCCTTCCATCAGCCCTTACGACTTCGATACTCCCTTAGCTCGCCGGTCCATTTTCATCAACGTACACCAGTCGTTGGTTGTGCCTTATCGCGAGCTACGCTGCACGTTTTCACGAAGTCCCACTATACTTTCTCCATCTGCCAATATGGTCGGTCACGGCGCCTCAGGCATGCTTGGTGAAGGTCAG